TTTCCAGATTCGTCGTTTAGGATTTAGGCCCTAAACCCTCGTCGTTTAGGATTTAGCCCTAAACCCTCGTCGCTAAACCCTCGTCGTTTAGGATTTAGGCCCTAAACCCTCGTCGTTTAGGATTTAGCCCTAAACCCTCGTCGCTAAACCCTCGTCGTTTAGGATTTAGGGTCTAAACCCTCGTCGCTGTAGGATTTAGCGAATAGGATTTAGGCCCCCATGGGGGGTGCCCCAGGATCGGCCGGAAAGTGGTCGATTCGTAAGATGTTTTAGTACAGAATTCATATGGCAGAAATGACCCCCGAACTTTCCAGATTTCTGAGCTCTAACCCTCGTCCCTAAACCCTCGTTGCTAAACCCTCGTCGTTTAGGATTTAGGCCCTAAACCCTCGTCGTTTAGGATTTAGGCCCTAAACCCTCGTCGCTAAACCCTCGTCGTTTAGGATTTAGGCCCCTAAACCCTCGTCGTTTAGGATTTAGGCCCCAAACCCTCGTCGCTAAACCCTCGTCGTTTAGGATTTAGCCCTAAACCCGTCGCTGTAGGATTTAGCGAATAGGATTTTGGCCCCCATGGGGGGTGCCCCAGGATCGGCCGGAAAGTGGTCGATTCGTAAGATGTTTTAGTACAGAATTCATATTTCGGAAATGACCCCCCAACTTTCCAGATATCTGGGCTTTAAACCCTCGTCCCTCGTTGCTAAACCCTCGTCGTTTAGGATTTAGGTTCTAAACCCTCGTCGTTTAGGATTTAGGCCCTAAACCCTCGTCGCTAAACCCTTGTCGTTTAGGATTTAGGCCCCTAAACCCTCGTCGTTTAGGATTTTGGCCCTAAACCCTCGTCGCTGAACCTTCGTCGTTTAGGATTTTGCCCTAAACCCTCGTCGCTAAACCCTCGTCGTTTAGGATTTAGGCCCTAAACCCTCGTCGTTTAGGATTTGGACCCTAAACCCTCGTCGCTAAACCCTCGTCGTTTAGGATTTAAGCCTAAACCCTCGTCGCTAAACCCTCGTCGTCTAGGATTTAGGCCCTAAACCCTCGTCGTTGAGGATTTGGGCCCTAAACCCTCGTCGCTAAACCCTCGTCGTTTAGGATTTAAGCCCTAAACCCTCGTCGCTGTAGGATTTAGCGAATAGGATTTAGGCCCCCATGGGGAGTACCCCAGGATCGGCCGGAAAGTGGTCGATTCGTAAGATGTTTTAGTACAGAATTCATATGGCGGAAATGACCCCCCAATTTTCCAGATTTCTGAGCTCGTCGTTTAGGATTTAGGCCTTAAACCCTCGTCGTTTAGGATTTAGCCCTAAACCCTCGTCGCTAAACCCTCGTCGTTTAGGATTTAGGCCCTAAACCCTCGTCGTTTAGGATTTAGCCCTAAACCCTCGTCGCTAAACCCTCGTCGTTTAGGATTTAGGCCCTAAACCCTCGTCGTTTAGGATTTAGCCCTAAACCCTCGTCGCTAAACCCTCGTCGTTTAGGATTTAGGGTCTAAACCCTCGTCGCTGTAGGATTTAGCGAATAGGATTTAGGCTCCCATGGGGGGTGCCCCAGGATCGGCCGGAAAGTTGGTCGATTCGTAAGATGTTTTAGTACAGAATTCATATGGCAGAAATGACCCCCCAATTTTCCAGATTTCTGAGCTCTAAACCCTCGTCCCTAAACCCTCGTTGCTAAACCCTCGTCGTTTAGGATTTAGGTTCTAAACCCTCGTCGTTTAGGATTTAGGCCCTAAACCCTCGTCGCTAAACCCTCGTCGTTTAGGATTTAGGCCCCTAAACCCTCGTCGTTTAGGATTTTGGCCCTAAACCCTCGTCGCTGAACCTTCGTCGTTTAGGATTTAGCCCTAAACCCTCGTCGCTAAACCCTCGTCGTTTAGGATTTAGGCCCTAAACCCTCGTCGTTTAGGATTTGGACCCTAAACCCTCGTCGCTAAACCCTCGTCGTTTAGGATTTAAGCCTAAACCCTCGTCGCTAAACCCTCGTCGTCTAGGATTTAGGCCCTAAACCCTCGTCGTTGAGGATTTGGGCCCTAAACCCTCGTCGCTAAACCCTCGTCGTTTAGGATTTAAGCCCTAAACCCTCGTCGCTGTAGGATTTAGCGAATAGGATTTAGGCCCCCATGGGGAGTACCCCAGGATCGGCCGGAAAGTGGTCGATTCGTAAGATGTTTTAGTACAGAATTCATATGGCGGAAATGACCCCCCAATTTTCCAGATTTCTGAGCTCTAAACACTCGTCGTTTAGGATTTAGGCCCTAAACCCTCGTCGTTTAGGATTTAGCCCTAAACCCTCGTCGCTAAACCCTCGTCGTTTAGGATTTAGGCCCTAAACCCTCGTCGTTTAGGATTTAGCCCTAAACCCTCGTCGCTAAACCCTCGTCGTTTAGGATTTAGGGTCTAAACCCTCGTCGCTGTAGGATTTAGCGAATAGGATTTAGGCCCCCATGGGGGGTGCCCCAGGATCGGCCGGAAAGTGGTCGATTCGTAAGATGTTTTAGTACAGAATTCATATGGCAGAAATGACCCCCGAACTTTCCAGATTTCTGAGCTCTAACCCTCGTCCCTAAACCCTCGTTGCTAAACCCTCGTCGTTTAGGATTTAGGCCCTAAACCCTCGTCGTTTAGGATTTAGGCCCTAAACCCTCGTCGCTAAACCCTCGTCGTTTCGGATTTAGGCCCCTAAACCCTCGTCGTTTAGGATTTAGGCCCCAAACCCTCGTCGCTAAACCCTCGTCGTTTAGGATTTAGCCCTAAACCCTCGTCGCTAAACCCTCGTCGTTTAGGATTTAGGCCCTAAACCCTATTCCTAAACCCTCGTCGTTTAGGATTTGGGTACAGGTTTTTGGGCCTACCACAGCTTTTGGGGTTTATATTATATATAGGCAGTACTGCCTTCGACCCAATGCTTAGCGATGGCACGGCCGAAACGTTACAGTGCGACAGTGTTTGACCACGTGGCAAGTGCTCTGTCTGTGCGAATGCCTTCAGAAGCCGAAAAGGCAGCGGGTTCGGTGGGCGGGGGCGCGAAGCCCCGCCCACCACCGCTGAGTTTAGGGTTTAGGGTTTAGGGTTTAGGGTTTAGGGTTTAGGGTTTAGGGTTTAGGGTTTAGGGTTTAGGGTTTAGGGTTTAGGGTTTAGGGTTTAGGGTTTAGGGTTTAGGCAGGAAATATGCTTCGATGTTCAGCCGCTTGGGTGCACAAGTGCGAGGGGAGTTCGCGATTCGGCTTCGGAGTGTGCTGGAGGCCTTTGGAGACTGGGGCCTTGTATCGGCCACGTCAGTTTTTCTTTTCCCACCCGCGCCCGTAAAGGGCGGCTCCCACCCTTAGCCAGCTCCGCCTTTTAGGGTTTAGTTTCCTAAACTCCTTTTAGGAAACTGTCTTGTATTTTGTCTTCTCTCTTTCTTTCATAATTATCTTTTTCATTTCATATTTTTCATTACGCATAGTGATTTAGCCATCCGAATTTTATAATATTTATTGAACCGGAGTTTTGGCGTCGCTTTTTGAACGAAGTGCATAAGTTGGTGGGAGGCTCTGGGAAATAATTGGACAACATTGGGGAGTTTATTGAGGTTTATTGCTTTTGCATGATGTCGTAAAATGCCAGGGGCAGGGATTCAAATCCATATTGAATAGGTTACAAGATCGAAATTCTAGATTGCTTCAGGCTTCGGTCAGAGGAATCTTCATTTGCTATTCAGCTTTTGTAGACATATTCTTATAGGAATATTTGAAGAGACGACTTTCATGATGATAGAATCGGGAAGAAATACGACGATCAAACAAAAAAAAGTGCATATACATATATATGTATATATATATATATATATATATATAGATAGACACCTCAGACCTTGGCACTGCTAATAAGGAAGACTTGAATTTTTACATATATTCTGTTGATAATTTGAAGATTATGATTTTTGGTTTTGAGAATTTCTCATAAACTTTCTCAGAATCAGAATCCTTGGAGAATATCCGAAGATAATCGAAAAGGCAAGAGTTGAATTATAAAATATTAAACCATACCCCAGGGTTCCACTTGCGAAGGATCCAGGGGCTGGCGCATGCGGGGACCCCTGGGGCTGACGAGCACCCTGCATGCACACCCGCCAGTGCCTGGTGACGCAAGCGGAAGGCGAAATGGTACGTTTTTCCACGCGTGGTCGAACTTTTCGGTGCATTCAAACGAACTCCCATTTTACGCGAGGGCATTCCGCTTCCGCTTCTTTTTCGCGTGCATGGGGTATCCAAATTCTTCCTTGTTCTCGCTCGGGCTTACCCTCCTCTTCTCGGAGCATTCATTCCGTTTTGTTTGGTTCCAAACAAACACTTCAAAGACGATTTCGTATTTTTTTCGTTGGGGACGGGCGCGTGGCATATTTCGCCCTTTCCCCTTCGAGTGTGCATGGGGTATCCAGACCGGTCCTGGCGCGCGCGTGCGGCCCACCGCCGTCGCCAGGAGCTGCAGATCGACTAAGTGAAAGTTCTCAGCCGCTTGCGTTCGATTGTCATGCGCCGTTGCAGGTGTCCTCCTTCTTCCACCTTTTGCTCAGACAACAGAGCGAGGGCTGCGTGCGGGAGTACCCCACGTAGGGGACCGGGGGGGTTGACGGCCCCGGGCTCGTTTTCCCCCCGCGGTGTCCACGCGATGAAAAGTTGGGGCTGCGCGCGGGAGCACCCGGCGTAGGGGACCGGGGGCGTCGACGGGCATGGCTGCGTCTTCGTCCCGCGGAGTCCAAGACTGTGACGGCAGTTTCTCTGCGCTTATCGCAGTCTGGTGCTGCAATTTCCCAAGTCATGATCGGCGACCCGGGGACAGGAGGGCTGCGCAAGATCGCACGTATCGAAACGCGACAAAATCGTCGATTGCTTCCATGTTCGGTTCGCGGGATGTAATTGAATATTCTGATCCATGCGTACCTCAATGCCAACGCGACGGACGCCGCCACAAGCACTCAAGCCCTCGCACGCACCCAGCCCGACTTCTCGCCTTGCTGCGACCATGAAGCTGCAGTGGGGTCTGGTTGTGTGTCGGGCGCTCGGATCCTCCTAGCCCGTTCGCTGGGCGTTGTAGCTATGCAGCACACGAGGCCTGGTGCTCGCACTGGAAGGCGCGGGTGTCCGCATAAGGTTAACATCTCTATACTTACTTATTTCAGTAAGAGAGATGAACAGCGGAGCCACGCGGGCAGGTGTCCGTAGCGGCGGCGGGGGCAAGAAGGCCTGAATAAGCAAAAAGCGGACCTGAATGCGTCGAAGTCTGTGTGCATGAATGACAAGTCGCGTCCTGCGAGGCAGCGCAACCTCCGGCCGAGGCCGGGGTAGTCGGGGCAGTCTTATTTCGACTCAAGCAACATGCTGTCAGGACGCCGCCCACGACCGTGACGGTGCAGGCACGTTTGGCGAGAGCCACAAAGACGTGTGTGGTGCCGGCACAAGTCGGGCACGACCAGGGGAGAATGGGACGCCCGGGGGCGACGGCGCTCCGGTTGTGCCGGCCGCGCCGGAGGACCCGGAGCCCGACGAAGGCAGGTCGGGCATGGGCAACACGGATGGTAAATCTTTACTGCCCTCGACGCCGCAGGTCACGGAGTTGCTGTGGCTGCTCCGGAGGACCAGGAGTCCGACGAAGGCAGGTCGGGCACGGGTAACACGGACGGCCGATCTTGGCCCCTCGACGTCGCAGGCGACGGAGAAGGGAACCGACTTACCTGCGAGGCAAAGCGGGAAGCCTGCGCGTGCAAGGGAGCTGCGCCAAGCGAACCTGTCCATGTGGCATGCTTTTTGCAGGATGAAGAAGTTCGGGAGGAGAGGGCAGAGGCGCGCGAACTCCCATCTACGCAGCGGTAGAGTCACCCATGATGCCATGGAGAGGAACGCAGGGTGGAGGCCAAGCGCGCCCTGCGACTGCTGTGCGGAGGTCGGCATTTTGTCACTCAATGCTGCAATGCACATAAAAGCACAAATACACAAATATACATAGAAGTAAAAATATAAGTAAAAAAATATATCTATATCGTGTACGTCTCATATAGATTAGCCCGATACGATCGAAGGCGGTGGACACCCCCCACGCTGTGGGCACAAAGAATCTTTGCTCTGGCACGCAAGAAGTGGTGGACGTGATCAGGTCGCGATGGGCACCCTCCACGGTGCGGGCACAAAAGTGCGGGGCCGCCCTTGTTGATCGGATAGCCAGTGCAAATGATGTCTGCAAAGGTCGGAAGGCGAAGTCGAAGCCCGAAGCGCCCGCGCCCGAAGCGCCGGCGCCTTTTCGAGGCTCGACCGGCAGTTCCGACCACGCGAAATGGACCGAATCGTGCCCTGCGAGGCATCTCCTGGAAGGAAATTCGAAAAGAGCTCAAGCGTGCGCTGCCTACAGGGCGCAACGACACACAACACACCGGCATGTATTAGCTGAGGCATCTTCGACATTACCACACTGGGCCTCGATCCGGCAGAACTGAACGAAACCACGTTCGCAGACCTCTACAACCTTCTCGCGCGGCCCTTAGGTGCAGACGTGTATCGAACTCATGTTGCGCGTGGCACACGCAGGCAGCGGCTCTGGACGTGCCCCGCGAAGCCCTCGATGCCTTCCGCAGCCTCATCGACGGGTGGCTGAGCTTCCATGCAGAGTTGCACAAGGCCACCCCAAGAAATCTTCACAGTCTAGTCGAGTCTAGCCTTTGTCTGAAAAGTGCTGGTGCCTGCAGACCGGCGTGCAGTCCGGGAAGGGTTCGCCCTTGCAAAGCAAGGAGGAAAAGAAACAGGCAAAGGCACGCGAGGTGCGGGCAAAGGCCGCCGCAAAGAGGGCCAAAAAGGAGAGGGAGGAGGAGGCAGCAAAAGCTGCAACAGCCTTGAAGGCACGATCACAAGCGGGATTAGCATGAGAGAGCCGACCGATCGTGAGTCATCAGCCCTGGCATGAAATTAAAGAAGAGAGTGGGAATTGTTCGCGGAACGCCAGGCTCGGCGCAAGAAAAAAGAGAAGGAAAACGACAAGAAGAAGGAGACGAGGGCCGAGCTCAAAAAAACAAAGGAAGAGGGCGCGGCGGAGGCCGGGCGAGGTGCAGTGGCTGGTAAGTTCATTAACAGCATCCGGCCGCCAGCCGTCGCAGGCGAAGGCAAAGGCGCAGGCCAAGCTCCAGGAGATCCGGAATAAAGACAAGGACAGAAAGGCCAAGTACCGGAGCAAGCAAAAGAAGAAAGCGGCCGAGGCAAGGGCAAAGGAAGAGGCCAGGTGTAGTTGTAGGTCCCATCTGCAAATAGCATCAAAAGAGGAAATTGCTTGTGCTGCAGGCTCGGACCGCGCTTCGGAAGGACATGGAGGCCTTGGCGAAGCGCCCCATACTGGACGAGGCATCTCGCCACGTCAGTTTGAGTCTATATGTATGCGCTTGAAAGCCGAGTGTTGCGCGTCCTCAGGAAGTCGACTTTGCCATGGCTGCTCTGGCAGAGGAGCGACTGGTCTAGTAGAAGACAGCTAGGGGACTTGGCTTGTTGGACAGGCCGACCCGGACGAGCTCTCCAGCGACGAGGTGGGCGCACGGCCGGCCGGAAAGCAAGAAAGGCCGGGGCGTGCAAGGGATGGCGTGGCACATTCAGGACACGGCGGACATGGAGGACCTCTTTGGAAGCGCTGCCGTCACGCAGGAGGAGGCACATGTGACCCCGCCCAGTGAATTGTAAATCTTTGGTGACTTGGTGACAGCCAGGAGGAAGCTCAAGTGGCAGCGGCCATGCGAGCCTCACGGAAGCCGCCGTCCGACGACATCTGGGACCCCAAGCTACGGCCTCAGTCAGAACCGGCAATGCTCGCTATGCTTCCTCGCCCATGCAAAGGAGCGGCTCACGGAGCTCAGACAACATCGGCGGCCCGCCAAGCGGCACGTCCGGAGCTTAACTGAGCCGGAGTGCGCAAGAACAGCCACAGAGTGCATGGGGCCCAGGGCCTAAAGCGGCGGAGTCGTCCGTGACCGAGGGGTGGCGTGAGGACAGAGAGCGAGAGAAAGAGCGAAGAGAAAACGTGAGAATCCTGCGAGAGGCCCTCGCGCACTGCGCGAGGACTTGCGTGCGCACAATGCCCGGCAGTCCAGCCCTCAATGAGTCCAGCAGTATTGCCAAGTAGCCGCAGTGGCGTGAAGCCGGAGAACATGTCGACCTCAGGCTGCTTACAGCGGCCCACCGAGGAGAGGCTTGCTCTTACCACATGCGAGGCGCCAAAAAGTCGCAGGCGAGGCCAAAGGCTTTTCTCACTGTCAGGCAAGGCCAGCGGCATCGGAAGAGAAGCAGTTATGCAGCGATGCAAAGGCATGGCCGAGGATGCCTATTGCTGAGGCCCTCTGTCCTGCATCGCAAGATTAGAAGAATTCTTCACACCAAGCAAGCAGAAGTAGGAATGTTGGGCTGTAAAGGCATGGCCAAGGATGCCCTTTGCTGAGGCCCTCTGCCTTGTTGTTGCATTGGATAAGGCACACAGTAGAAAGCGAGGCACACGCTACATTTTCGTCAGTGTTAAAGAAACCTACGCCCGAGTCCCAAGTCCCGGGGCACGGCGAGTAAAGGCATGGCCAAGGATGGCCTTTGCTGAGGCCCTCTGCCTTGTTGTTGCATTGGATTAGGCAAACAGCAGAAAGCGAAGCACGCGCTACATTTTTGTCAGTGCTACGCCCGGGGTCCCAAGTCCCGGGGTAACGGCGAGTAAAGGCATGGCCAAGGATGCCTTTTGCTGAGGCTCCTGCCTTGTTGTTGCATTGGATTAGGCAAACAGCAGAAAGCGAAGCACACGCTACATTTTTGTCAGTGCGAGGGAAACCTACGCCCGGGGTCCCAAGTCCCGGGGCCTTGCCTCGAGCAAGGTAACGGCGAGGGGCTCGCGACTGATTTTTTAGAGGCCAGGGCAAGTTTAATGTTCCTCTGGAGAGTTCTTGCCGGCCAGGGGTCAGAGGGTGGGGGGCCAGAAGGGGCGGTGGGGGGGGGGGCCAGGGGGGGGGCAGGGGCAGGGGGGCCAGGGGGCCAGGGGGGGCCAGGCGGGGTTAGGAGGAGGGCTGAGGCCCTCTGCCTTGTTGTTGCATTGGATAAGGCAAGCGTGTCAGTGCGAGGGAAACCTACGCCCGGGGTCCCAAGTCCCGGGGCCTTGCCTCGAGCAAGGTAACGGCGAGGGGCTCGAAGTGACTTCTAGAGGCAAGGGGGGGCAGCCAGGGGGGGGTCAGAGGAGGGCCGGCGGCGAAAGGAGGGCTAGGTCGGACTGGTATTCAAGTAACTAGAACTTCAGGATAGGGATATTGGCCAAATCCGTCGTTCACTCCTGCGTCGAACAGCAGCTGTTGAGCGAATCGTATAATCCGCGCGGGGGAATGTCGTCTCTTGGTTCGATACAATCGATTGCCACCTAACCCTTAACCCTACTAAACTTGTTTGTACCCTTTTCTTCTTATTCGTGCCCATTCCATACGGTGATTTAATCGTAATCTGAGTGAAGAAGAAAAGTAAGAGAATCGCATAACCTGTGCGGGGAAGGGAATGTGGGCGTGCGATTCAAGCAACTAGAGAATACTAGCCAAACCCATCCTTACATCTTTAACATATAACGAAGAGGACTTCGGGGCAAGCTTTTTGGCCGAATCGTATAATCCGCGTGGGCGGGGATGTCGGCTTGAATAGTATTCAACCAACTAGAACCTCAGGATAGGGATATTGGCCAAATCCATCCTTGACTCCTGCTCGGTTCATACTTATCGAACAAGATTCGGGGCACAGCCTTTAATACGGGGGGAACCCCTATTCCTAAACCCTATTCTTTAGGATTTAGGCCCTAAACCCTATTCCTAAACCCTATTCTTTAGGATTTAGGCCTTAAACCCTATTCCTAAACCCTATTCTTTAGGATTTAGGCCCTAAACCCTATTCCTAAACCCTATTCTTTAGGATTTAGGCCCTAAACCCTAGTCGCTAAACCCTATTCTTTAGGATTTAGGCCTTAAACCCAAGTCGCTAAACCCTATTCTTTAGGATTTAGGCCCTAAACCCTATTCGTTTAGGATTTAGCGGGCCTGGGAATAGGATTTAGCGAATAGGATTTAGGCCTCCGTGGGGGGGTACCCCAGGATTCGGGAAAAAGTAGCCGATTCCAGCGTTAATTATGATAAAATTTAAATAGCAGAAATGACCCCCTCGTTTTCCAGATTTTAGGCTCTAAACCTATTCTTTAGGATTTAGGCCCTAAACCCTATTCCTAGACCCTATTCTTTAGGATTTAGGCCCTAAACCCTATTCCAGAAACTTATTCTTTAGGATTTAGGCCCTAAACCCTATTCCTAAACCCTATTCTTTAGGATTTCGGCCCTAAACCCTCACACACACACACACACACACACACACACACACACACACGCACGCACGCACGCACGCACGCACGCACGCACGCACGCACGCACGCACGCACGCACGCACGCACGCACGCACGCACGCCACGCACGCACGCACGCACGCACGCACGCACGCACGCACGCACGCACGCACGCACGCACGCACGCACGCACGCACGCACCACACACACACACACACCACACACACACACACACACACACACACACACACACACACACACACACACACACACACACACACACACACACACACACACACACCAATCCCCACAAAGGTTTGTTTCCTGAACGGGTTGTCCCGGGGCCCCCCTGGGACGGGTTGTCCCGGGGCCCCCCCGGGACAGGTTGTCCTGGGGCGTCCCGGGGTGTCCCGGGGCCCCCCTGGGACAAATGTCCCGGGGCCCTCCCGGGACAGCCCTGGGACAGATGTCCCGGGGCCCCCCCGGGACACCCCGGGACGCCCCCAGGACAATGTCCCGGGGCCCCCCCGGGACGCCGAAATTCCAATTTTTCGGCGTGTGGTCCGTTTCGTTTTCTGCGTTTTCCAGGCGTTTTTTTACGGTTTTCCTCGACCGACGCGGCAGCCAAAAACCGCTTGCTGGTCCAGAAACTGCGTGTTTTTGGTGTTTTCTGCGTTGGTTGCGGTGCCACGCTTGTACGATTCAGTAGCCATGCCTATACGAACCCGCAAGATGCGATCCCGGATTTCCTGCCCGCGCCTGGCTTCGCGCCGTTTTGTGCCCCACGGCCCGGTTTTTCTCTATCTACTTTAAGCGTTTTTGCGTCGATTTTTGTGTTTCCCTTAAGGTTGGGGCGCAGTCTCCCTACAAAACCTCCTGTGGGTAAGTATGCTAGATGTCGTTTTGGAAAACGTTTCCTGTTTTTAACTTAGGCCTTTGATTCCTGCCGCGGGAGGTTTTGGACGAAACACGAAATTTTCTCTCATTTTGCCGCCTCTTGGCAGCACCTAGCCATGCATGACCTTCACTTGCAGCCACCTGCCCAGCAGTATTGGACAGTCCTAGTGATGTGTCTCTCAGGTCTGGATGCTTCACGACTCTTCAGAGTCGACGGCGACATTGGTAATTGGCATTGGGGATCCGGCCACAGGTACCGCTCTGCACTTGTCTAAATGCAGTGTCCAGTCCTTCTACTCTTTAAATGTGATGCGCATGGTTAGGGCTGCTGCGAACATGTCCTGTGCAGTTAGGTGCCACATGCCTTGGACGAGGACGAGAGTCACGACGAGCCCCTGTGGCGGAAAGCCCTAGTTGTGCTTGTTCTTGCTGCTATTGTTATTGCTGTCTCATTGCCCAGGTGATGGAGCGGCCACGATGGCAGCCTGCTGCATGTGGTCAGAAAAGAAGAGAGCGATCGCCGTGCTGATTTCTAGTGACGCCTTGTAGCGCCATGCGCACGACGAGCAATAAGTTGCACTGCGCCCTCTTGTCTCGCAGCGCTTGGCCCCTGGTAGGGTTTCGGCAACTGCACTCATTGCCTGCTGCCACCACTTCAGCATGACGCGCAGACCTGAGTGTCAGTCTTCTCCTAGAATCCTCGTGTTCCAGTCGAACTGCGTTTAGACAGCAGGAATGGCCTTGAACCGCACGACGCTACCCGTGTCGCTGGAGGCCGTGCTGAATCGTAAGTATACTGTCAGGTCATCGCTGCTCCACACGTGCCTGTGCCAGATTCGGCGCCGCTACGCCCTCTGGATCCGCGCGCACCTCGGACCCAGTGTGGACATGATCGCAATCCATCGTCAGGCTGGGGATGCACGGTATCTACTTCTTTTCGAGTAGAATATACTTATCATCCTCTCGGATCACTGCCAGGCTCTACGGGAGGTCGCCGACCCGGCGCTGCGAGCGCTGTTTCGACAGCGGCTCCGGTACCACTTCCCTGCGCTTTTTCGACTTGTGGACATGTAGCGGCCTGCCAGGTACTGGATCGCGGCCATCCGCAAGGCGGAGGTCCAACGTTTCGGCCGGCGAAACCGGGGGCGACGGGCCCAAGTCCCTCTGCATGTTCGCGCAAAAAAAAAAACCATTTCCGTTCAAGCTGGCGTGCGCTCGAGGCGGCCGCAGCCGTGAGTAGCAGCGGCTCGAAAAAAAGGGCACGGAGCAGGACCTGCTGTGCGTCGCTTAAAAGTGCTGCAAACAGTCCTGCTATATGTCGGAGTGGGCGAGTAGACAGGTAGTAATCGACGAGCATCACCTGTAGCGTTTCGTGACTGCATCAAGCAAAAAGCATTCAGCACTTGGCACTCATGTTGTCCATAGCCTAAAAAGCGAGGGATGAGCGAATGCGGGCCTGGGCAGCACATTCTTCTTCATACGACTGCGCAGCATGCTTCAAATACCCCGGGTGTGCAGCACGTGTGGCTCATCAGAGACACCAGTCTCGCACCGTTGCCATACTCCTGGTCCAGGCCGAGCTGTGCTTGCGAACTGAGATTTCTGTTCAGATGGCGCACGCAGTCAGGGCACGCTCGACTTCGGCCATGTCCCGTCTTCGCCTGTTGTCGGCGGGTCTCTTTCTCATCTTGATGCCGAGGCCGGGCTTCATCAAGCAAAGCGCAGTTATGTAGTAAGTTTGCGTCGGGAGTGATCATTGTAGCCCAATTCCGAATTCATGACAGATGCAGCTACGGTGGGCCTCACGAAGAGAAAGTCGAGGAGACTGTGTCGGGCACTCGGAGATGAAGAGACAAGCGAGATCTCGCGCCATCTGCTCGAATCACTCGGCAGGCGCTCAACCCCCACGCCGCTGGACGAGGTGACAAAAGCCGCCTCCTCCAGGTGTGCCTTTTGATGCTGCGGTGGCCGCAATAAGACTTGCCATGCTTATCTCAGCAGGACCGGCTCGTCCGGCTCCTCTTCATCCGTGTCCACGCCATCTACGCCGACAAGCAACGCTGACGCTTCAAAGAAGCCAGTTTGTCGAAGAAGTGGCTGCGGCAAGAGCCACATAGGGAGATTCCGAAGGGGCAGAAGCAACCGGCGGGCCGACCATCTGTGGATGGCGCCGTTGCCAGGCGGAACCGCCTGCCAGGGGCTTCGGGACAGCGTCTGCGTGCTGGCTCTTGATGCCAGCGGAGGCCCCGGAACGGCCACTGACGCGGACAGCCGCTGCGTGTTTTGCAGCGGGGAAAGATTCGAGAAGCTGACTAGGGTCCGCGGCGGCAGTCTGGTGACGAATTACCTCCGTCGTCTTCGCTCCCCCGAGCGCAAGGAAGCGCTTGCGGCGGTGGAAGTGCACGCTGGCGCCAGCACGCGTCGAGACTACGAGATGCGCCTGGCTCGACGACAGCGTCGGCGCGACCCAAATCGTCCGAAGCGCAAAGCTCGAGGAAGCTATATCAAGAAGAGGAGGAGCGTCAAAGAGGCGTGGGGCATTCCGGGCGCAGCCATGGCCACCGGCGAGAGGAGTAGCGAGACCAAAAACAAGAAGACAGAGCGACCGAACACGTCAGCCCATCACACAAGGTCGAAGCGGGTCAAGGAAAGGACCGAGGGCAAGACTACGCAGACAGAGAAGCAGATTTGATAGAACCGGGGTGAATTTTGTGTTGCGGCGGTGCGAGCGTAGCTCCCGCTGACGACATCACCTTTCTCAGGGTTCGACGCAAAGGGTCATGGCAGGTGTGAAAAAAAAAGTTCCAGCACTCGTGATGCAAGTGACCGATTTTCCTGCGCCAAAGCCAGTGACACCAGCAATGTTGCACGTGCGTCTCGTCGTAGCTTCCAGGCTCATAGCCCATGCAGCGTGTAGGTGACTTCGAATCAGTTTCCGACCTGACGCACTTTCGGAGGAAGTTTAATCGTCCTCTCGGCAGCTTGCTCGCTTGAACATGATGTGTCTATAAGGGTTCTAGAACCGGATATGAGTCTGACTACTATAATCGGTCTCGGCGAGAAAAAAAAACAACGACGGGAGACGCGAATATGCCGGAGCCCAAGGCGGGGCCCGCCATCCGGACCTCGACATCGACACCGTGCATGGCATGTTCGCGCTGCACAAACAAGAGCTCTCGACGGCGGACATGATGAAGATTTATGACATGGCCATTATCGACGAAGTCGGCCAACTCCCGACGTGGATCTTTGACAGGCTACTCCGACTGTGGGACGCCGCCGATCGTCGACCGGCCCTCGTGTTCGTCGGAGATTTCTGCCAGCTGACGGGCGCGGACGGCACCACGGCCAGGGAGAGTCGTCGATGGTCAGAAATGCACATCATGAATCTGCACGAGATGCGCCGCTGCAAGTGCGATCGACTCAAGTGGAAGCTGCAGCTGCTGCGCAGCGCCACACCTAGCGGCGCTCAACTCAAGCAGATCCTCAGAGGGCACCGTGCAAATCTTCGCGGCAAAGCCGGTGCCAACCGACTCGATGCCGAACAAATTAGTGCTATTCTGAAGGAAACACCGAAAACGACTTTCGTGACCATCAGTCGTAAGGGTTCCGCTCGGATCAATCAACTCGCCCTGCGAGCACTCTTCCGGGATGATTCCATCTTGGATTGGATACCGTGCGATCCTCAAGAGAATTTCAACAACTTCTGGAGAGAGACGCAGGTGGATGCAGAGCCCTTTTGGATGCCGGTGCACCAGTCCATGCGGGTTACGATCACCAGGAACGCCGACAAGGAGCACGGCTTCGTCAACGGGATGGGCGCCACTGTTCAGTGCATGAGGCGCAGCGGTGTGCAGGTCCTAACCGACCACGGCCAAGTTCTCCTCGTTCACCCGATCACGCACGAGACTTGGATGGCTTCTGCCGAAGAACGACAGCCTTCCCGTTGCGTTTGGGGTACAGTACCACACTCCACAAGATCCAAGGTGCCACTTTGTCTCACATAACGATTTGGATGGATGTACCATTCATCCGTGTAGCTTTATACGTCGCCCTCTCGCGAGTGCAACATGATCGCGATTGGCGTTTTGTAGGCTCCATTCAAAGGAAGCATTGCCTGCCATCGCTACTCTGAGCGGCATCGGTAGAATAATGCAGAGATCACCTAACCTGTGCGCTGGCGGGCTACGGAGCGGATCCAATCCCCGTAGCAATGCAACCGCAGGACGACAGAATGAGCCAGACCGAGCCTGGATGTAAAAGAAGATGCATGCATGCGGCATCGGCGTGTAAGTTTTCGTTGACCAAGAGAAACCAGCAGCCCAGCGCCCGTGGATCCACATTCACGATAATCTTCCGTCGAGCACGTGTATCCTGCAGCCCGGCACGCATGGATCCATCCACCGCGCAGGCAACAGCACGATAGAAGCAGCTTGCTCAAATCAGAATTGCCACGTACAAGTATCAAGGGAGTACAAGCCAGAAGCAAACAACGAAGTCGGATCTGCAGTAAACTAGAAGCGCGGCAGCCATTCTGCTTGTGCCGCAGAAGCACTTGATTCCAGGATCCTGCATGGCGCGGGCCCAAGCATCCTGGTGTGATCCATTCCTAAAACCCTCGTCGTTGACCCCCTCATTTTCCAGATTTTGAGCTCTAAACCCTCGTCCCTGAACCCTCGTTGCTAAAACCTCGTCGTTTAGGATTTTGGCCCTAAACCCTCGTCGTTTAGGATTTGGACCCTAAACCCTCGTCGCTAAACCCTCGTCGTTTAGGATTTAAGCCTAAACCCTCGTCGCTAAACCCTCGTCGTCTAGGATTTAGGTCCTTAACCCTCGTCGTTGAGGATTTGGGCCCTCAACCCTCGTCGCTAAACCCTCGTCGTTTAGGATTTAAGCCCTAAACCCCCGTCGCTGTCGGATTTAGCGAATAGGATTTAGGCCCCCATGGGGGGGTGCCCCAGGATCGGCCCGATTCGTACAGTCGTTTAGAGATTTAGGACCCTAAACCCTCGTCGCGCTAAACCCTCGTCGATTTTAGGATTTAAGCCTAAACCCTCGTCGCCGTCGTCTAGGATTTTAAAGGTCCTAAACCCTCGTCGTTGAGGATTTGGGCCCTCAACCCTCGTCGCTAAACCCTCGTCGTTTAGGATTTAAGCCCTAAACCCCCGTCGCTGTCGGATTTAGCGAATAGGATTTAGGCCCCCATGGGGGGGTGCCCCAGGATCGGCCGGAAAGTTGTCGATTCGTAAGATGTTTTAGTACAGAATCCATATGGCGGAAATGACCCCCCCAATTTTCCAGATTTCTGAGCTCTAAACCCTCGTCGTTTAGGATTTAGGCCCTAAACCCTCGTCGCTTAGGATTTAGGCCCCTAAACCCTCGTCGTTTAGGATTTAGGCCCTAAATCCTCGTCGCTAAACCCTCGTCGTTTAGGATTTAGCCCTAAACCCTCGTCGCAAAACCCTCGTCGTTTAGGATTTAAGCCCTAAACCCTCGTCGTTTAGGATTTAGCCCTAAACCCTCGTTGTAAACCCTCGTCGCTTAGGATTTAGGCCCGAAACCCTCGTCGCTGTAGGATTTAGCGAATAGGATTTAGGCCCCCATGGGGGGTACCCGAGGATCGGCCGGAAAGTGGTCGATTCGTAAGATGTTTTAGTACAGAATTCATATGGCGGAAATTGCCCCCCAATTTTCCAGATTTCTGAGCTTTAAACCCTCGTCCTTAAACCCTGGTTGCTAAACCCCCGTCGTTTAGGATTTAAGCCCTACACCCTCGTCGTTTAGGATTTAGGCCCTAAACCCTCGTCGCTAAACCCTCGTCGTTTAGGATTTAAGTCCCTAAACCCTCGTCGTTTTGGATTTAGGCCCTAAACCCTCGTCGCTAAACCCTCGTCGTTTAGGATTTAGCCCTAAACCCTCGTCGCTAAACCCTCGTCGTTTAGGATTTAGGCCCTAAACCCTTGTCGTTTAGGATTTAGCCCTAAACCCTCGTCGCTAAACCCTCGTCGTTTAGGATTTAGGCCCTAAACCCTCGTCGCTGTATGGGGGGTGCCCCAGGATCGGCCGGAAAGTGGTCGATTCGTAAGATATTTTAGTACAGAATTCATATGGCGGAAGTGACCCCCCAATTTTCCAGATTTCTGAGCTCCAAACCCTCGTCGTTTAGGATTTAGGCCCTAAACCCTCGTCGCTTAGGATTTAGGCCCCTAAACCTCGTCATTTAGGATTTAGGCCCTAAAACCTCGTCGCTAAACCCTCGTCGTTTAGGATTTAGGCCCTAAACCCTCGTCGTTTAGGATTTAGGCCCTAAACCCTCGTCGTTTAGGATTTAGCCCTAAACCCTCGTCGTTTCGGATTTAGGGCCTGAACCCTCGTCGCTGTAAGATTTCGCGAATAGGATTTAGGCCCCCAGGGGGGGTACCCCAGGATCGGCCGGAAAGTGGTCGATTCCTAAGATGTTTTAGTACAGAATTCATATGGCGGAAATGACCCCCCAATTTTCCAGATTTCTGAGCTTTAAACCCTCATCCCTAAACCCTCGTTGCTAAACCCTCGTCGTTTAGGATTTAAGCCCTAAACCCTCGTCGTTTAGGATTTAGGCCCTAAACCCTCGTCGCCAAACCCTCGTCGTTTAGGATTTAAGCCCCTAAACTCTCGTCGTTTAGGATTTAGGCCCTAAACCCTCGTCGCTAAACCTTTGTCGTTTAGGTTTTAGCCCTAAACCCTCGTCGCTAAACCCTCGTCGTTTAGGATGTAGGCCCTAAACCTTCGTCGTTTAGGATTTAGCCCTAAACCCTCGTCGCTAAACCCTCGTCGTTTAGGATTTAGGGTCTAAACCCTCGTCGCTGTAGGATTTAGCGAATAGGATTTTGGCCCCCATGGGGGGTGCCCCAGGATCGGCCGGAAAGTGGTCGATTCGTAAGATGTTTTAGTACAGAATTCATATGGCAGAAATGACCCCCCAACTTTCCAGATTGCTGAGCTCTAAACCCTCGTCCCTAAACCCTCGTTGCTAAACCCTCGTCGTTTAGGATTTAGGTTCTAAACCCTCGTCGTTTAGGATTTAGGCCCTAAACCCTCGTCGCTAAACCCTTGTCGTTTAGGATTTAGGCTCCTAAACCCTCGTCGTTTAGGATTTGGCCCTAAACCCTCGTCGCTGAACCTTCGTCGTTTAGGATTTAGCCCTAAACCCTCGTCGCTAAACCCTCGTTGTTTAGGATTTAGGCCCTAAACCCTCGTCGTTTAGGATTTGGACCCTAAACCCTCGTCGCTAAACCCTCGTCGTTTAGGATTTAAGCCTAAACCCTCGTCGCTAAACCCTCGTCGTCTAGGATTTAGGCCCTAAACCCTCGTCGTTGAGGATTTGGGCCCTAAACCCTCGTCGCTAAACCCTCGTCGTTTAGGATTTAAGCCCTAAACCCTCGTCGCTGTAGGATTTAGCGAATAGGATTTAGGCCCCCATGGGGAGTACCCCAGGATCGGCCGGAAAGTGGTCGATTCGTAAGATGTTTTAGTACAGAATTCATATGGCGGAAATGACCCCCCAGTTTTCCAGATTTCTGAGCTCTAAACACTCGTCGTTTAGGATTTAGGCCTTAAACCCTCGTCGTTTAGGATTTAGCCCTAAACCCTCGTCGCTAAACCCTCGTCGTTTAGGATTTAGGCCCTAAACCCTCGTCGTTTAGGATTTAGCCCTAAACCCTCGTCGCTAAACCCTCGTCGTTTAGGATTTAGGGTCTAAACCCTCGTCGCTGTAGGATTTAGCGAATAGGATTTAGGTTCCCATGGGGGGTGCCCCAGGATCGGCCGGAAAGTGGTCGATTCGTAAGATGTTTTAGTACAGAATTCATATGGCAGAAATGACCCCCCAATTTTCCAGATTTCTGAGCTCTAAACCCTCGTCCCTAAACCCTCGTTGCTAAACCCTCGTCGTTTAGGATTTAGGTTCTAAACCCTCGTCGTTTAGGATTTAGGCCCTAAACCCTCGTCGCTAAACCCTCGTCGTTTAGGATTTAGGCCCCTAAACCCTCGTCGTTTATGGATTTTGGCCCTAAACCCTCGTCGCTGAACCTTCGTCGTTTAGGATTTAGCCCTAAACCCTCGTCGCTAAACCCTCGTCGTTTAGGATTTAGGCCCTAAACCCTCGTCGTTTAGGATTTGGACCCTAAACCCTCGTCGCTAAACCCTCGTCGTTTAGGATTTAAGCCTAAGCCCTCGTCGCTAAACCCTCGTCGTCTAGGATTTAGGCCCTAAACCCTCGTCGTTGAGGATTTGGGCCCTAAACCCTCGTCGCTAAACCCTCGTCGTTTAGGATTTAAGCCCTAAACCCTCGTCGCTGTAGGATTTAGCGAATAGGATTTAGGCCCCCATGGGGAGTACCCCAGGATCGGCCGGAAAGTGGTCGATTCGTAAGATGTTTTAGTACAGAATTCATATGGCGGAAATGAGGCCCTAAACCCCAACCCTCGTCGCTAAACCCTCGTCGTTTAGGATTTAAGCCCTAAACCCTCGTCGCTGTAGGATTTAGCGAATAGGATTTAGGCCCCCATGGGGAGTACCCCAGGATCGGCCGGAAAGTGGTCGATTCGTAAGATGTTTTAGTACAGAATTCATATGGCGGAAATGACCCCCAAATTTTCCAGATTTCTGAGCTCGTCGTTTAGGATTTAGGCCTTAAACCCTCGTCGTTCAGGATTTAGCCCTAAACCCTCGTCGCTAAACCCTCGTCGTTTAGGATTTAGGCCCTAAACCCTCGTCGTTTAGGATTTAGCCCTAAACCCTCGTCGCTAAACCCTCGTCGTTTAGGATTTAGGGTCTAAACCCTCGTCGCTGTAGGATTTAGCGAATAGGATTTAGGTTCCCATGGGGGGTGCCCCAGGATCGGCCGGAAAGTGGTCGATTCGTAAGATGTTTTAGTCCAGAATTCATATGGCAGAAATGACCCCCCAATTTTCCAGATTTCTGAGCTCTAAACCCTCGTCCCTAAACCCTCGTTGCTAAACCCTCG